CCAGTTATCTAACTCCATCACTAAATTGTCGTCTCTTTAATTTGAGATAAAATTTAATAAAAAAAACTCTTAATATTTGTAAAAAAAAATATTTATTTAAAAATTAATATTATATAATTTAATATAATTTAAATTATACAATATTTTTTATTTAATAATAAACTATAAGATAAGAGCAGCACTCACTTTTCTCTCTTTACTCGCAAAATTCGACTCAGACACTTCAAGAATTTTTAGCCATACTATTTGTTGGCCTTTGAGACCTCCCTTGGGACAACGAACAATTTTGGAGACACCTCTTGGAACTCCAAAAATCGTTTTTATTCATATTCTCTCGAAGGGGTAAAAGTCCCAAGATGCTGAACTTTACCCTTTTAAAGTCTTTTTCCTGGGAAGATGACAGAGTTAAACCCAAAATGAACACTTACCCATATACCCTTTTGGTGCTTTCCCCCTTTTTACACTGTCCTTTAAAGGCATTGGAGGGTCAGATGACAAGTCCCTCTCGTCATTATAGCCATGTCTGACTGCTTTTGGCTGAGAGAACTGATTCAAAGGACACAATTGATTGTGACTATTCATCACCATCCGGTGATATTTCCAACACACACTTCTTTTTTTTTTCTTTTTTCTTTTTTTTTTTTTGTTTTGATAAACCAACGCACACAAAACTTGCGAATAGTTCCCTCCATTTCCACAACATAATATTTCATGTTTCCTTAACTCTCATTTTTTGAACGCACCCATAAAACAGGAAGATATGCCCCATTAAGGAACCCAAATTATTGTACCAAAAAAAGAGGTCGCCCAATAAATGGTATAGATGCAAGTGCAACAGATGATGAAATAACGATAAAAACTAAAAATATAGTGGAATTAGGGTGGCAGTAATAATACATGCTATATATGAACAAAGATGAAAAAAATGATGAAAAAAAAAAATGCCGTAGTTTTAGTTAGAATTCAGAAAATCTAAGTCAACATCTCGTCCGTTTGTTAGTTTGACCGACCACTACTAGTGGGATGGGAGTTTGTCTTGCCTCTTTGTTTTTGGGTTCCGGTGAAGGAGAAAGAAGTCTTGAAGCATTGATACTTAAAAAAAAAAAAAAAAAAAAAAGACAATGTGCCTAGAAAAATCTTATTGGTGGGGACAAGTGTCAGGAGATTTTAAGAGGGTTTTATTTGAGAGGGGAACACATTTTTCTGCAGCCAGTTGGTTTGGGAAGGTCTACTTTGCAGTGGGAATCCTGATGATGCTGCAGCAGTTGCAACCAATTGATGAGGACCGGATTGCCATTGTTGTTGTTGTTGTTGCTGTTGATGATCATTTGTGGATAGCGAAAGGCCACTCCCAATTTGCCCCCCAATGCTGCTGCTTGGAAATTGAATCTAAACAAAACAAAACAAAAAAATTATGAGTACCAAATTTCGAAAAGTGAGACAGGTTTTAGATTCAAATCTCTGACACAAAAACGAGCTAAAGCCTAACCTGATACCCCGGTGTGTTGATTTGAGGAGGAACTATTTGAAACATGTGGGTCTCTCCAGGTCTCCTGAATTGCACATATCTTGGAATCTCATTGGACTTCACTGAAGCTGGAGATTCAATGTGTGTTTGGCTCAAAAGCTGCATGGTTTCAGCCTCACTGTAACCATCTCTTCTTTGAGGATCACTTCCGCTTCTAGATGGTTCCTGAAAACAACCCAAACACAAAAATCAATTAACCATTGCTGAAAAGAAGTTAAATTCAGAATGTGAAATATTATACCAACCTTATTACTAGGCCTAAATCCAAGGTTCCGCCAATCACCTTCAAATGGCAAACCACGCTGATGATCAACGACATTATTCTGCCTTTGATCCAGACTGTTTTGTTGCAAGGTCGAATTCCCTAGACTTAAGTCCAAGTTATGATCTCTAGCATTACCCGAAGTTTCTAAATATTGAACAAAATACAAATTCAATACCACAACATGAACAAAAAAAAAAAAAAAAAGAGGGAATAATTTTCATTATGGATATTAAGCTAACTTACCACCAGAACTAAGCTCAATTTCGTAAATGCTGGGATCAAAATTAGTTACAGCGTCTTTGCCATTACATTTAATTGCAGCTTTATCATAAGCCCTATAATACAAATGGCACCAGAAATATTCAGAAATTCTCAAAGTCTTGAATCCATAATAAAAAAATGGAAATCATGATTGAAATAACAGTAAAAGTACCGACCTTGCAGCTTCAATCTCAGTATCAAACAGGCCTAAATAAACATACCTGGAGTTGGAAAAAGAAGTATATATAATTTGAGCAAATAAAGAAACCCAAAAATAGAAACAGAACTTTCTAATATGGATCGAGAAGAAATGGTTACTTCTTGCCCATAAATTGACCCATTCTTGCTTCCCATCTGCCGCACTTGTGCAAGGTTACACCTCTATATTTGGAGCTCCCCCTCGGAAATCCAGTACTTTGTCGGCGAAGTACATGCACAAATTCTTCCTTGGTTAGGTTGCCCATCTTGTATGTGGAAAGTGGAAGACATTAATAAAGAAAATTAAAAAAGGTAAGAAAGAAACATTTTTTCATAAACAAACTGTAGAAGATCTGTGTGTCTCTCTCCTCACCTGCTTCAAGTCATCTTCATAATCTTCTATACTGAAGTTAATATCTGCCTCGACTCCCCGGAACTTGATAGCTGCTCTATCATAAGCACTGTCGGGAAATGTCAAACCAAGAGGATATTGTTACTTCAACCTCGGATTCTCGGGTAAAGTATAAGTGTTCTGAGTTCATATATAGTACACGACATGACAATTTTTGTTGTGGTGAAAAGGGAAGGAGGAAACAGTAAATCAAAGATCAAAACTCACCGAGCAGCGGCGTGTGCTGTGTCAAACCCACCTAATAAAATAAAATCCAAGAAAATAACAAAACCGAATTTAACCCACATGAGAAATCGACATAGAAAATGCACATAAACTTGATGTTTCAAGAAATGGAAAATATTTTACCTAAATAAACTTGTTTTCCGCAATCCCTGCATGTGAAATGAGGAACAGAACTTTAGATTTTTGATTGGGTTGAGAGAAAAAACAAGTTCAAAAATGGGAAGTGGAAGATATTAGATTTAGAAAGTATATGCCCTCACAAGTACTGACCAAATATGAGACTCCCATCTTCCAGTTCTTCTATAGAAAGTAACACCTCTGTATTGGGAGCTTCTCGACCTGGGTCCTCTCCTGCTCTTCTTCATCGGGTGGGAAACGTCGGTGGCGGGTTTTCCGGCGAGTACAGGCTCCGATGGACAGAATTTAACTCCGACCCAGTGAGCTTGGGGGAACCTCGGTCCACAATCGCCCCCACCAGAAGTGTCCCCCATTTCTGGGTCCTCAACCGGAAAAAACTGCCGGGTCACTGGCGGGTCCTGCTCTTCTTCACGGCGAACAGAGAAACCGAAAATCCTGCTTCTTCTCTTTTTCATCACCGTCCTCCCTCTCTCCCCACCGTCTTCCTCCTCCGATCCGTCGTCAACAAGGACAGCTGACGAGCTCGAATTGGATACGGATCCGACCCGTTTACCCTTCTCTTCATCACCGTCAACGGAGGTTTTGGGTGAAGAACAGCCCTCGGATTCATCATCCCGTGGCTGATCAGGACAGTCATTGAGATCCCACATTTCAGGTTCTGATCTTGATGAAAGAAAAACGGAAACTTGAGCTGCTGGAGAGGGCTTTAGATGAGACAAAGTAAAAAATTAGTGATCATTTGAACTTTGTATTTTTATTTTTTTTGGAAGAACCACTGAAAGATCAATTCAGCTAAGGAATTAGTTAGGAATCAAGGAAGGAAGAGAACTTGGAAGCAAAAACCCTCCCCTTGTCTCTCCTCCTTTGTGTATGATAAAATAACAAAATGAATATAATAGTAAAGAAAAGGA